TAACGATTCAATTTTTAAAATCTGATGACACCAGTGTGTTCCCCACCCCCCCCAAAAAAACAGGGTATATCCAAAATTCGACACTGCCAACTTCTACTTATGAGAAATATAGCACTATATTTTAAAACTACAACTTCCACTAGAGACACACCACAGAACACAGTTACAAAGCTAGTGTTACTTGTAGTTCTTCCGGGCTGGGTGGGTGGACTTGTTCGGCTCCTCTGTTTTTCTGCTGTCTGCTGTGAATGGGCTTCAACTACACTCAAAAAGTTCAAAACTGAGCAAAGTGTTGTTGCTGGTGACAAAACCACTGATTAAATATGTACATTGAAGCTATACTGGCGTTAAAGACCCCCTGACCTGCATTGCGGGATATGGGATTCGCATGTGACCCGCTCGGCCCACATTGTAGTGTTCTGTCTTACAGCATACAGCATACTGTAACCAATAATAAGACTGAAATTATATTATTAAAATAATGTAATGAATACCATGATAACATCTAACATCTAATTGATAGATGTAGCATTATAGTTTTAAAAATATCAATAAACAAAAGCAATCCAGCTTCTCTGCCAATAAGACAGAAATAATAACATTAAAAGAAATACATATAAACCATATGATCTCGTGAATAAATGTTATCTGTGTATCCATGTAAGATGTATCTAGGAGATGAAGGAAACTGTCATGATGAAATGTCTTCTTCCCCCTAGTACACCTACTGTGCTTAAGACGACACACCACATTTTAGGCATTTATTAGCTTATACAACCACAAAAACCACAAACATAGCTCAGACACATAACAAAAATCACAAATGTAAAAAGTGAAGAGCATGTCAAGTGATTACAAAGGCCTGGTAGGGACTGACCCTGTGATACATGATGGGCAGCTATGGAGTGATTTGCAGTGGTGGTAGTGCAAAAGTAAACAGTGCAGGGATTTAATCAGTGCAAAGCTGTGCATGTTTAATATGACTATGGAAAAAAGAGTCTGAGCATAATAGTACTGCTTAACAAAAACAATACAAAGAAGATAAAATAAATAGAACAGAAACTTAAATATATATATAAAAAATAAAAAAGATTATACAAGCCAACAGGGGTAAATGTTGAAACCACAGTCCAGAATGTGTAGAGGGGCTAATGTAGCCTGTAAGACAGTCAAATGGATAGTGGATACTAGACAATAGACAAAGTGATGTGATGGTTGGCGCATGGTGAGACTCATGCTGAAAAGTCCATTTCTCCCCTAACCTTTTCTGTGACATTGAGTTGCTGGTTTGCCCTGGGGACAAAGGACCTCCTCAATGTTGAGCATGACAGAAGACTGCTACTGCAAATTATCCTCAGTTTGTTAAATGATTAACTCCAGCTCCATGCCAAACACAGAGCCAGCTTTCCTTACCAACCTGTCCCAGCGGCCCTCTTCTTAATGCTGCCTCCCCAGCACACAACAGCATAAAAAAGGACTCTGGCCATGTTTAATCTTGCTCAGAGTCACTACTGGTATGGTATTCCTCAGAATCACTATCAAAGTTAATTTCTGTTTCAGTCAGAACTTGAACATAACATTTCTTTGCATGCTTTGTCAGGCTGTTGCTTGCTTGCTTGTTCTTCATCGTCAAGCTCTGTAGACCCCGGATACCATCTTGAAGCAGGCCCCACGTCTCACCTTACATGTTAAAACACATTGAGCCTTTATTAATTAGAAACATTCAGAAATATTGTAATGTATGCCAAGTATAACAAATACATACCTGATGTCACATTAGAAAGCTGGGATGACATCTGCTTCAGGGTGTCTGCACGGGTGCAAAGAGACTTCCAATGCTTGTTCATCTCTGCAATAAGAATCCTCTTCTCCTCCTCAAGTCTCCTTACTGCCATCACAATGTCGAACGCCTTCCTCTTTGTCCTTAGATCTACAGAGTCTGGAATACATAGATGAAACATAAGTCGGTTGTATTTAAGATTAGTATTTAAAGATTTTCTGGGGTTACAATCGAGGCATGACAGATTTTGTCCCACTATGTGACTATTTCACATAGTCAACGGAATTGTGTACATACCACCGTGTGTAAGCTGCCATGGCCAAACAATCTCGTCAGATAGAATGGTGTCCAATGTCAGTTTTTCTGCATTAGGAACCAAGGTGTTATACTTTTCCACTACAGAATTTAAGATTTTTTTTTCCTCCCTGATCTTTCGGCGGATTCGGGCACGTCCTTTGCATCCGTCACTATCCTTATAAAGACGCTGGGACCTCCTCTTAACACTTGCCACCAGCTCCTCAATTCGGCTGGCAACAGCGGCAACATCAGCATCATTTGGGGATGTTGTTGCTGAGAGGAAGAAATGAAGAGATAAGAAATATGCTTCTTGATTCCATGAAAAAATATTATTTCTGGTGTATGAGCAAAATAAAGCCTCAACAATCTTTTCATATTTCTCTGTAACTGAGAGGCTACACTTGTAGCTAAGGTTGAGTATAGTTAGGTTACTTAGCAAAACAAAAAGAAAGATATTTTGAAAAATGTTGACTTCAATTGTGTCCATATAATAGAAGTCAATGTGAACCAAAACTCTTTCATGTTCCACAGAACAACAAGAGGCTAAGTTATGGTGACACATTGCTGCCACACACATATTATTTTTTCCACTCAATTATGTCGTAAGAACGAGATGTTATGTCGTTTTAATGACATCTTTTCTCATTTTAACGACATCTTTTCTCGTTTTAACGACATCTTTTCTCGTAATAACGACGTTTTCTCGTTAAAACGACATCTTTTCTCTTAATAACGAGATGTTTTCTCGTAATAATGACGTTTTCTCGTTAAAACGACATTTTCTCGTAATAACGACATGTTTACTCGTTAAAACGACATCTTTTCTCGTAATAACGACATGTTTTCTCGTTAAAACGACATCTTTTCTCGTAATAACGACATGTTTTCTCGTTAAAACGACATCTTTTCTCGTGAAAACATCATCTTTTCTCGTGAAAATGACATCTTTTCTCGTAATAACCACGTTTTCTCGTTAAAACGACATCTTTTCTCGTGAAAACGACATCTTTTCTCGTTAAAATGACATATTTTCTCGTGAAAATGACATCTTTTCTCGTAATAACGACATATTAATCACGACATAATATGTCATTAAAACGACATGTTTTCCCGTTATTATAGATTATTATTATTAGCCTATTAGAAAATCTCTTTATTTCTTTTATTTCTTTTTGTTCCTATTTCGATTTGTTGTTAAATCAAACTTCAGTCATTCAAATAAAGAAATATTAAGCCCAGAGTCGATTATTCAAAAATAACTGTTTTGATCTGATCATAGCCTAAACGAGTCATGGGTCTGAGTGCAGTTATTGGATAGCACTATATTGTAGACAGATTGGAGATTAATCCTAATAAACATGCCGCTACAATTAAAACCATTACATTAAAATACATTTAAAACAGTGTATTTCAATAATTTCAGCAGCGTGCAGATCCTCGTTTATGTCAGACTGTGGCAACAGCAGCGCGGACAGTCGCTTAGCGCGCTCACATAATGTACCATATAGCCTATCTATAATAATTACGAGAAAAAATATGTAGTTTTAACGAGAAAAGATGTCGTTTTAACGAGAAAACATCTCGTTTTAACGAGAAAAGATGTCGTTTTAACGAGAAAATATCTTGTTATTACGAGAAAAGATGTCGTTAAAACGAGAAAAGATGTTGTTTTAACGAGAAAACATCTCGTTATTACAAGAAAATATGTCGTTTTAACGAGAAAAGATGTCGTTTTAACGAGAAAAGATGTCGTTTTTACTAGAAAAGATGTCGTTATAACGAGAAAATATGTCGTTATAATGAGAAAATATGTCGTTAAAACGACATAACTGAGTGAAAAAAAAAATATGTGTGTGGCATCAATGCGTCACTGTATAATCCTAATAAACATGCCGCTACAATTAAAACCATTACATTAAAATACATTTAAAACAGTGTATTTCAATAATTTCAGCAGCGTGCAGATCCTCGTTTATGTCAGACTGTGGCGACAGCAGCGCGGACAGACGCTTAGCTCGCTCACATAATGTACCATATAGCCTATCTATAATAACCGGAAAACATGTCGTTTTTATGACATAATATGTCGTTATTACGAGAAAAAATGTAGTTTTAACGAGAAAAGATGTCGTTTTAAGAGAAAAGATGTCATTATTACGAGAAAACATCTCGTTTTAACGAGAAAAGATGTTGTTTTAACGAAAAAACGTTATTACGAGAAAATATGTCGTTTTAACGAGAAAATGTCATTATTACGAGAAAAGATGCCGTTTTAACGAGAAAACGTTATTACGAGAAAATATGTCGTTTTAACAAGAAAACATCTCGTTATTACGAGAAAAGATGTCGTTTTAACAAGAAAACATCTCGTTATTACGAGAAAAGATGTCGTTTTAACGAGAAAAGATGTAGTTAAAACAACATATAGTTTTAACGAGAAAAGATGTCGTTTTAACGAGAAAACATCTCTTATTACGAGAAAATATATCGTTTTAACGAGAAAAGATGTCGTTTTAACGAGAAAAGATGTAGTTAAAACAACATAACATGTCGTTATTATGACATAACTGAGTGGGGAAAAAAATATGTGTGTGGCAGCAATGCGTCACCATACAAGAGACATTTGCACGCACATCATATTTTATATACGAAGCTCTCTGGGGTGAGCTCATTATCATACAAACCTAAGTATGTTTTCTGTAAATACACTAAAAAGTCACTAAAAGTATGCGTGTGTTTAGTATATCCCTTAAAAGTGTAACTAAAAATATATTTATTAACATAGTATTTCTACTATACTTTTTAGAAATATAATAATAGTGTGCTTGTGTTTAGCATATTCCTTAAAAGTGTAACTAAGCATATATTTATTACCAAAGTATTTCTAGTATATTTTTTATAAATACATTAAAAGTATGCTTCTGTTTAGCATATTTCTTAGAAGTATAACTAAGCATATATTTAATACAAAAGTACTTCTATTATACTTTTTAGAAATAAATTAAAATGCAATTCAATATATTTTTATTGCACTTCATATAAGTATGTTGGGAATACAAATGTATTATAAACATACTACTTGAATTTCAAGTATATTTTTAATACATTTAATACTACGTCTTTTTCACCTGGGAAGCTAGGTTTATTTTAGTTAGTCTGACGTATTGCCAGTTCATTTGGTTCAAAATAAGTCAGACTAATTGAAATAAGCGTGGCTTATTTGGTAAACTTGTTTTATGAAACAGCCCCCATGGAGGCACATTAACAGTAAACATTTTGGATGTCGCCCTCTGACCCATCCATTTCAGGTCTTGGAGTCTCTAGTAATGAGCTGATGAGTTCAGGTATGTTTGATTAAGCATAGTTTGAAAGTGTGTACTGTTGGTGTGTGTCCTTGCATAGCAGTCTGGCTGTGGTTGACATAATACTATAAAATTCTTGGACATTGCATGATGATGATGTAGGCGGAGTTGCATTTTAAAATGACAAAATTCACAAAAATCTGTATTAATGCATGTAATGTGTTTAAATTGTAGCATACATTGTACGTTGTAGGCCTTTAGAAGACATGATCTTTTTTGAACAGATATAAATATGTGTTAGATGCACAAAGTTACCATGATAGCACCATCACCAAAAGTAATTAATTGTGCCTGCACTGCTTTACTATAACACACATGCTCATTGTGACCGCTAATATTATGTTAGGTTAGAACAGAGACCGGCCTCTGCCGGTGACACAAACAATAATTTCTTATTAATGTTTGTAATTTCCCAATAATTTGTCTTAATATATGCTCAAAAGCCTGTTGTGTGTAACGAATTCAGTCCACTGAAGGCGAGCATAGTGAAGAACCCAAGTGCAGTTTATTTACAGTGTGATCCAAACATCCAAACAATAATCCGAGACTTGACTTGACATGAACAGACTTGACTTGACGAGGCATGAACAGACTTGACTTGACATGAACAGACTTGACGTGGCATGAACAGACTAGACTCACCGACAGCGGGTTACAACATCAATACACGACAAAAGACAATGGCAACATGAGGGCTACTTATAGCAGACAATGAGGATCACATGACAAGAACAAACAAATGGGAAACAAGACACATGACCTAGACAACCAATCAGAACATGACACAATGAACAGAGGAACCAATGGCATGAATACATGACGGCAAGGGAAGCATGACACAAACAGGGACCATGACTAAACTAAATAATAAAAGACATGAACATGAAACAAAAACAAAACCCAAACCCCACATTACATTGTGTCATGTCTGATACATACATTTTAACATGATTTTTCTGAAAATTGATAAATGGATAATCAAGTAATATGAATCTTGAAATATTACTAACACTATAACTATTATTCTTGCTTTTACTAAAAATCATTAAAAACAAGAGGAAAAAGATACAGTTTTTTAAATTGCTGTTATAGCAGAACGTTTTGGATTGATTTGGACGACATTCTTTGTAAGTCTTAAGGTATGAAAGTTAATCTTACTAAAAAGATTAGGCTATATAGATATGGCAACCAAATGTGGCATTTATTATCAATCCATATTTAATATTGAAGATTGAAATGAAACATAACAAATTACTTCTTGGTTTGAAAAGCTTTTAAAACATTTATATCATGATGTCATAGATCTAATGTACTGCATTTTGATGGATGTGTAAGTGAATAATGTCATGTGAATTGGTTACAAATTTATTATCAAATTAAAACAATTAACTCAAGCACTTCATTCTAAAACACTGATATATTCATGGTTGAAACTCAACTACTGTGTGTTGCTCAGAGGTGTGGTTCATTCTGGCTTGGCTGCATTTGGAACTATTTTCACTGGCGGAGCAAAAACAAACGAACGAATGAATGAATGGCAATGTCCATATTGTAGAAGTCAGTCAATATTAACTTCTTGTTTCCTATACTGTTGTATAACATCAATAACACACTATGGCTGAGTCACAGCCCTGCTAATCTTGGAACAACTGCATTATGCATTATGATCACAGAAACTGCTACTTCTCTCCCAAAGAATATAACTTCAGAAAACTTAAGATTTAGTTTTTATAGAATGATTGCAAGAATATTGCATGTTTATAGAAGCTTCAAAGCTTCAGTTCCTATTCATTGTAATTGCGTGGAAAAGAGCAACTAGCACATTATTCAAAACATCTCTTTTTGCATTCCACAGAAGATATACGGGTTTGAAACAACATGAGGGTGAGTAGATGATGACAGAGTGTTAATTTTGGGTGTACTATCCCTTTAATTGTTGTTGATGGATTAGAGATGCAGTCTTAATTAGTGCAATTAGAGCACTTCAAAGCAAAGTTCAAAGTGACAGTTATTTACCCTCTTTATTGGATAATCCAGTTTTCCACCATCAAATATACAACTACTTCAGGCCACAAAGTTTGATAAATGCCTTCACTCTGAATATCCGCTTTATGTGTAGCTGCTATACCTGATTTTGATTTTATCAATTGCTTGATAATGCATGTTTCTTTATCCAAGAATCCAAACCCACATTAAAACATGCACAAAATATTATTACATCTCATTGAAACCTAAAGATAATTTTCAAAAAAATAAAATTAAATAAAAAATGAAATGGCCACAAAATCTAAACAAACAAAAAAAATTGTGCAGATGTCCAACTGTCCAATTTTTCCCCCCGTGTTGCCTTCCTCTCATCTACAGTTATTAAGTGAGCTTTTATTAAGCTTGCCTGAGGCCTGTTTAATACAGCTCACAGCTTCACTCTCTCTCTCTCTCTGGTATACAAGAGAAAAGCACACATACAGCCACGCTGGTCAGCTAGATGTTAGTCTACATGTCTTATTCTGTACATTTTGTGATGGCAATATTTGTCGTTGAATGTTTAGTTATACGAGTGGTAATGAAAGTGTTTATGGAATATGGAAATTATTATGACACTTTTATTCGTTTGATAAATTCCTATTTTAATATTCTTAAAAGTTATATGCTTTTGTTGCAACCCAAAATGATGAAAGGCACTGTTCAGCCAAAGAGAAAATTGGAACAAGTGTATACTAAAACTACTCTGTCTTATGATTTAGTAGTTCTGGCTTGAGAAGTGACTAACAATGGGGAATTTTTTCTGCTTATTAACAGAGGGGTATATGAGGTGAGTGTAACCAATCAAATTGTAGAAAACCTTGCTATTTTTATGCATTTCCTAACATATAAATTAAATAATTGTTGAGAGCAAGGTGGCCCCCTGGTGTTTTGGGGGCCCTATGCAAGAATTCTGTTCTTGCGTAGATGGGTCAATGACAGCCCAAATTTGGGTCTGACAGCCCAAATTTAGCCTCGTTTTAGCCTAGACGTCTAGGCTAAAACGAGGCTAAATTTGGGCTGTCAATGAAAATCTAATAGACATCTAGTCATAGCCCATTTATAGACTAGTCATCAATTAGACGGCTATTAAACGACTACATATATACGTCTAATAGACGATGAATTGGCAATCCATACATACAGCTTTTATTAAGAAAAATAACATTTTTAACAACTTAAGACAATACAAATTGATAAAAATACAAAAGAATTAATGACAAAATAAAATGTTATAAATACAATACACTTAAATATAAATATTATGATAAAAAAATCTGGAGTTTTTAACAACTTAAGATAATAAAAATATAA